TTGCAAAGAGGAGGTGCATTTTGTTGTCACGTCTCTGTCACCATTTTTCTGGAGCAGTTCCTCGGTCTTTCCTTGACTTTCATGACTTTGACATTTATGAAGATTACAGGTCAGTTGTTTTGTAGAATGACCCTAAATTCAGGCTTTATTTGATGTTTCAAATAAAAATCTGACAATTTTTGGTTACAGATTTTTGGCGTAAACATCGCAGAAGTGATTTTGCGTACTCCCCCCTTGCCTGCTGGCAGGTGGTGTTTAATTTGTATTTGTCTCTTCATCGATGTTCTTCACTTTGGCTCGGTGTCCAAGACTTCAGTTCAGTTCTGACCCTGTCTATCCAGACGTACCATCAGATGTCACAGGCTGAGGGCTCAGTCCCGTGGGACTGCACGCACGCTCCCTCCTCCGCCCCAAGACGCTGGTGACAAGACTGTTACCTGTGCTTCTGACCCACTGGCTATAAACCAGAGGGTCCTGTACCCCCGTCCTCAGGTCTGAGCCATTCGCTAGAGCTGCTCATAGAACTAAGAGAAACGTTCCACTTACTAGGTCACCAGCTCGCCGTGAAAAGATGGAAGTCAGAAACGCCCGGGGGGAGGAGCCGCGTGGGCGGGCGTGCGGGAAGGGACCCGGAGCTCCCGCACCCCCGGAGCGCGTCCCTCTCCCCAGACCTCCGGGTCCCACCAGCCCCAGGGCTTCTGAACCCTGTCCTTCTGGGCTTCACTACACGGTCATGGCCGGCGGGGGCTTCACTACACTGTCATGGCCGGCGGAGGCTTCACTACACGGTCATGGCTGATTATGTATCATCAGCGACTTGGCAATTGATTCAGCCTCCACCTTGTCTCCCCTTCCTGGAGGTCTGTGGGTGGGATGGAAAGTTCCAGCCCTCTAATTGCCTGGTTGGTTCTCCTGGCAACCTGCCTCCACCCTTAGGTGGGGTCCAAAAGTCATCTCATTAACAAAACAAAAGACACCTTTATCACTCCTCACACTTGGGAAATTCCTAGGGTTTTGGGAACTGTGAACCAGAAACTGGGATGAAGACCAAATATGTATTTCTTATAATAAATCATAATATCACGCCTTTGTAATCCCATTCCTCATAAAAAATTCAATTTATTAACTTAGTCATATCAGTATGGACTCATGGTATTTGGTCTCACCTTTTATTTATACCTTTTTACTGACTTTTTAAAAGATGTTTTATTAATTAACAGGGCTGGCAAACAATAGCCCATGAGTGGGCCACCTATTTTTGTAAATAAAGTTGTCCTGGAGCACAGTCATGTTCACTCATTGATGAATTACCTACACTTGCTTTGACGCTGCGATGGCACAGCTGAGTAGTTGCTAAAGAAACTGTGTGGCCTACAGCCCTAAAAGATTTGCCGTCTGGCTGGAAGAGTTTGCTAATGCTGGTTCTGGAGCTATTTTTTCTCTTTAAGAGTGACATCTTGATTAAATTTTTATATGATTTACCATAGGAACATTCTAGCTGGGGTGGATCACACAAATATTTGATGAACGTCCATGCCCTTGGGCTGTGGTTCCCAAACTGTGCCAAGGATGCTGAACTCACAGGGGCCCTGTAGAATGTTTATAATTTCCAAGCTAAACACAGTGATATTTGAGCTCTGTGAGACACAGAAAATTACCAGCTTAAGGTAATTTTCCATTTCAACATTAGGTCACAGTGCATTTCTCTCTGTGGCATCATATCCTGGCAAAGCGGAGCTTTCAGTGGTGATTGTGATAAAAACAAACACCATGCCAAAATCAGGACAGAGCAAGCAGTGAGGGTGGACGGCCGGGTCCAGGCTAGTTCTAATGTGTGAGAAGTTGGGTGATGCCCTGCACATGCATGCCGTTCATTGGTAATTGTGGTTATTTAAGGATGGGACTTTTTTCTTTAATTTACACGTATTATTGCTTTTTCAGATGACTGCTAAGTTGCTAAAACATGAATACTTTACTAAATTGTTTACTAACTGCTTAGTAAACAGAGCTGTAACATATTTCTTTTGACCTAGAGACACCGTGAGAAGATTCCTGAGTGCAGGCATGCAGGTGGAGTATGATGCAAGATGACCAGCTAGTTAGATACGATCCATCTCTAGGTTTGTGTACACACACACACACACACACACACCCCCGTGATGTCGTCCAGGAGCAGAGCACTCCTGTGTCTGCTGGAGAAGCAGGGAGGGCTCCCAAGGCGGAAAGACGTGAGCCCGCTGTGAGAAGCGCAGCTGCGCACCGAGGGCAGGGGGAGGAGGGCACGAGCGGGAGGATGCTGCCCGGCGAGGGCGGGGTCGCGGAGGGCATTTATGCCATAAGAACGAGTTTAGAGTTTTGTCCTGAACGTGATAGGAAACCCTTGAAGGGTTTCCTGGTTCAGTGGGATCTGCCTGTTGGAAGTGTTGTCCGTGTGAGCAGTAGTGCAGAGGACGAGCAGGGAGGCCAGGCAGGGCGATTAGCCGGGGTAGGAGCTCTGGGGGTCTGGTCCAGAGGAGCGGCAGGAGGTAGCAGGATGTTGGGAGATAATGTGAGTTATTGGCCTCAGTTCCTGTTTTGCTTTTGTTATCTCTGTTAGGAGGAATGGCTTATAGTTAGTACAGAGTGGAAATAAATATTAGTAAGATGAAAG